CGTTTCCAAGCCATAGAGCCAGCGTTTTGTCCGAAGACAATCTTCCGTGGTCACATGGCCTGTGCGACTTAGACACGGAACGCTGTTACCTTCCCACCGAAGTGGTCCCTATTAATCTACTTGCATTTGCATGCTTTCGAACCGCTAGGTTGGCGGGAGCTGGGACAAGCGACGGGCCCTCACTCCGTCGCGTGGATTCGCTCTTACGACTGCTTGGTCTTCTGACCCTGCAGCATAGGCTTCTGCAGTTTAGCCCACAGCGCCACCACGTCCCTCAGCGCCACCACACAAAATGGCACTGCCTCACAGACTACTAATACTGCCTGGGGGGAAGCCAGAGGAAAGCAGAGACCTAGATGTCACACATCCTTACCAGCTACAAGAAGAGTGTGGTCCAATGCATCTAGGCTGGGTTCCCACTTTAAGCTGGAGTCACCAAATATCAACCTCAGAAGCACAAAGAAATGGTGGCTGAAAAACAACTGTGTTCTATGCTTCTAGGGTTCTTTTTTCCTCAAATGTGCTGTTTCCATCTACTTACCTATGTCAAGGTCTGGGACTTAGAAATGATAACATGAATCTGAATGTTTAGGTTGCTGCATCAAAGATGAGTCCTGCCTCATTTGAGAAAGATTTTGGTACAGTAGAGTGATGGATAGTTCAATGAGTTGGGTACCTGGCTGTGGAGCCAGAAATCAGGAGTTCGGTTTTCCAGTGTGGCTCGGAGAAAAGCCAGCCTGTTTAACCTTGGGCACAAAGTCCCAAAGTACCCCCAGAAAAAGGGAATGGCAAGTCACTTTTGAGTACTCTGTATCAAGGAAATCCTGGAAAAGGTCACCATAAGTTGGAATTTACTTGACAGCACACACTCTTTATTATTAGGGTGACTTGCACCTCTTAAGAAAATCCTTTTAAGAAACACATTTATTACAGTGTAAACAGCTAGTAAAAAAAACCCCACTCCAAAAAGCCCTGCAAAGCACAATCATTTTTTAGCCAACTGTCTGTATTCAGGCCCTGTCAGGGAATCGAGAGCACTGGGTCACACTTCGCAATGTATGACTTTTTAAGGGAGGCTGATGAGGCAGGAAGGATCCTGTTGGTACTCCTTGATCTCTCAGTAGTCTTTGAGACTGTGGACTACAGTATCCTCCTGGACCGACTGTCAAGTGTAGGGATCAGATATTTTGGCACTTAGCTGGTTCCCGTCCTTCCTTGATGATTGAATCCAGGGAGTACAGCTTGGGGACTGGGTTTGTAACCTGGGAACTCCAGATTGTGGCCGTGACCAGGTCAGCTTATAAGCAACTGAAGTTGGTCATGCAGTTATGACCCTACCCGGATGGGGAGCCCTGAGGATACTGCTACATGAGGTACTGGTCTCAAAGACTGACTGCTGTAGCACTCTCTACGTGGGGCATCCATTGAGGCTGAGCTGAAAGCTGTATCAGCTCTGGAATGTGGCTGCCACATTATGTTGAGTGTAAATAAGTTTGATCATATCTCCCCAGTCCTGGCTTACCTGAACTTCCTACCTGTGCCATTCAGGGCCAGGTTCAAGGTTTTAGTTCTTACCTATCAAGCCCTTCATGATATGGGGCCTCAGTACTTATTGGAGCACCTTTCCCTAGAGAAGATCAGCCTATATCACCTGATCCACACAGGCTATGCTCTCATGGGTTGCCACTCCAAGAGAGGCCAGGAAGACATCCACAAGAAATCAGGCCTTCTCAGTTGTGGCACCATTCCTAAGGAATGGGCTCCCTCCCAGTAAAGCCCCCTCTCTCTTTGCCTTTAAGAGGATGTTGAAAACTAGGCTGTTTTAATAAGCTTTTAGGGGCATCTTTGATTAAATGATTTTCTAGATGTTTCCCACACTCTTGCCATGGTTTGGGTTTGCTTAGTCCTAGACATTATTTTGTTTTTATTTGACAGTTTGATGTCTTTTGCTGTTGCATTTACATTGTTTTCTCTGATGTAAACCACCCAGAGTGCTGCCCAGTATTAATCAGATGGTATACAAGTTTATGAAATAAATACTTAATTCTTATAGCAACGTTGCAGGATCGGAGTGCAATGGCTCTTTGATGTAACAGGCTGTCAAGGTCTTTCCAATTTATGGGAACTCAAACAGGGTTTTCAAGGTATGTGGGATGATCCAGGAGTGGGTTACCTTTACCAACCCTCTGTGGCCAAGTGGGGAGCTGAACTCAAATAAGTGTCCAGCACTATTGTTTTGGAATGTTACGCTATTTCGAAATGTGTTGGCGCTGTTTAACACCGGTCTCATTCATCGCTGCTCAGTTTGTTTGTTTGTTTGTTTGTTATCTGTCAGATCTTCTTTGATTTGGATTCCTGCCTTGAGCAGAGAGTTGGACCTGATGGTCTAATAGGCCCTTTCCAACTCAATTATTCCAAAATTATATGATTCCGGAACAGTGTATTCATCTGGTGGCCATTCCTTAGTGCCTTTTCATGACCAGGATATAGTACGAAGCACACCTGAGCTTCCTTTTATCCTGTTCTGCCTATCGTATTATACCAGACACTGGGTAACTGTGCATCTAATTTGAAGAGTCTGGTTTTAGTTCTCATCTTTCTTTTTTCCTTTCCTTTTCTAGCTCCTTCTGTCAAAAGGCAGCAATTAAAGACAGATTATCATTTGAGGTTTTTACTGTCTCTAAACATGTCAGTGCCGATAAAAGGAGCAGGAATAAAGGGTACCAAGGATGCTGTGAAGGATAAATAAGGGGCAAAACGATTTTGAAATAGGGCTTCTGCCTACAAAGGGCCATTAAAATTTTGCTGACTTCGATATATCTTGATTTTCATTTACATTCTGGCACCGTCCCCTCCATTAGAGACAGGATCTGCAGCCAATGCATATTAATGATGCTGTACATTTGCATATTATGGATCCATAATACCAAGAGTGTAGTATATTTAAATGGGAGGGGGTTGAATTTTCATGAAAAAGTAGCAAGGGTGCAATAGTAAAATTTTTTTTTTTCCACATCTCACTCTTTTAAAGCTGCTTCTTTAAAAGGCAGGGAATAATCCCAGCATCTGGAAAAAAAATCCAACACGGAGGAGCTAACTAGTGGCTTTAATATATCACCAACAATATTTTTGTGAAAGAGGACAACATGTTTCATTCCCACGGTTTAAAACGCTTGCATTTGAAAATGGCTTTTCGTTTTTTCTTGACACTTTCTTTTCTTTTTGAAAATAAGGAACTCTATTAAATGAGCTGGATATTTACTATGTGTATGTCCACAACGGTGAGTGTTAAGTTTGTGCTAGATTTACACTTACAGCAGTGCATATGTTCATTCAGAGGGGATTAAGACCGGTCCCTGTCCCAAGGGAGTTACAATATAAATTTCAGCTATAAGGGAAAGGAGAAGGAAAAGTTCAATGCAGGGATGGGGTCTCGAGTCACAAGAATCACTGTCAGGCTGGACTTAAGTCGCACTAGCAACCCGGCTCAGGGCTTGGTTTGGTTTTTCCAGAGACTTGGACTTGATGAGCTCATTTTTAATAGGGGCTCCAGCTTGGGGCTTGGGACTCAAGATTTGGTACCAAAGACTTGGACTTGCCAACATCCCTGGTTCATAGAGAGGAAAATATAAAAGGTTAACAAGAAGGAACGCTAGCAGATGTTGAAAAGATAGTGAAAGAGACCATAAAGCAGCGATGGAGAACCATTTTGAACCCGAGTGCCCAAACTGTTCCGAGTTCCCATCACCTCCTGGGAAATAGAAGGGGAAGATATGGAGGCAGTGTCAAATTTTATCTTCCTGGGCTCCATGATCACTGCAGATGGAGACAGCAGCCTTGAAATTAAAAGACGCCTTCTTCTTGGGAGGAAAGCGATGACAAATCTTGACAGCATCTTGAAAAGCAGAGACATCACCTTGCCAACAAAAGTCCGAATAGTCAAAGCTATGGTTTTTCCTGTAGTGATGTATGGAAGTGAGAGCTGGACCATAAAGAAAGCAGACCGCAGAAGAATTGATGCCTTTGAATTGTGGTGCGGGAGGAGGCTCTTGAGAATCCCCTGGACTGCAAGGAGAACAAACCTATCAGTTCTAAAGGAAATCAACCCTGAATGCTCACTTGAAGGACAGATCCTGAAGCTGAGGCTCCAGTACTTTGGCCATCTCATGAGAAGAAAAGAGTCCTTGGAAAAAACCTTGATGTTAGGAAGGTGTGATGGCAAGAGGAGAAGGGGACGACCAAGAATGAGATGGCTGGACAGTGTCTGCGAAGCAACCAACATGAACCTGACACAACTCCGGGAGGCAGTAGAAGACAGGAGGGCCTGGCGTGCTCTGGTCCATGGGGTCACGAAGAGTCGGACACGACTAAACGACTAAACACACACACACACGTAAGGTTTACGTCTAAAATCCATAGCACTTTTCCTGTTGCTGTAAGCCTCCCACAAAAATCCTATTAATGCATGGGAGAATCGTTTCTCTTGAGCTCTGCATGGGAAGCGTGCTGAACTTCACTCCTCAATTCGGAATGTCCCTCTCTTTTTAAAATAAATAATAATAATAAATGTTTTATTACGGTCATTGACCAGCAATCTGTAACCGATTCCCTTGAACACAAAAAGAAACCTGCCCTTTTTTCCTTCTCCAACCCTGGAATAACCACCCCCAAGTCACGTGTCCCTCCCCAGCTTCTTCCCTGAGCGGAGAGGCGCGACCTCCCAGGGAAGGCAGACGGCGGTGTTTTGATGACGTCTATTGGCGACGACGCCGGGGAGGGGGAGGAGGACATGTGGTGGTGTCGTCATCATCGCTGCGCCCGCGGGTTTCGCAGCCATGGTTGCTATGGTTTTTGTCCGGGCAGCGAGACGAGGGAGTTGGGCCCGTCCTGTCCGGTTCTTATGTGGCGGCGATGTGGGCGTCCTGTCAGCGGCTGGGATGACGACCCGGGCGCGGCCACGAGGGCTGGCCTACGAGCAGCACGGGGACCCCGTTCAGGTGCTGCGGTAAGGAAGGAAGGAGGGAGGTAGGATGGCGCAGACCTGGGGAGACCGTCTCTCCTTGGAAGTAAATCCTGCCGTCTCTATTAGGATTTCCTCCCGAGTAAATACTATAAGATGGTCGCCTAAAAGGGGGCAAGAATGAAGGAGCTGAGCCCTGATGTCTGATGAAGTGGACTTTCTTTCTTTCTTTCTTTCTTTCTTTCTTGATTGATTGATTGATTGATTGATTGATTGATTGATTGATTGATTGATTCCCCCCCATCTAGTCAATAGACTAATTGATTGATTGATTGATTGATTGATTGATTCCCCCCCATCTAGTCAATAGACTACTCTGGGCGAACTACTCTTGTCCACGAAAGCTCACATTTAAAAACTATGAAAGGTAGCCTTTACCACCACGTTTTTGTTTATGTTTTACTTTTTATTTTATTTTTTTACTTTGGTTTCAAAACCTTTTCAATTATTATTTTAACAGCTCTAATTACTAAAGGCCGTTTGTTTTAGGTATAATTTTAGGATTCTGACTTTAATTCTGGTGTTTTCATTTGTACGTCCTTTGTATTGTTTTTACTATCTACCATCAGATTGTTGTCAATTTATGAGAACCATAATACGGTTTCCAAGCTTGTTTGAGGAATGATTTACTTTTGGTGGCACCTAGTGAGTTTCTGTAGTTGAGTGGGTGTTTAAGCCAAGAGTTCTTATCCTGACACTGTATTCAGTACACCGCAGTGTTTCTTGCCCTGCCTGACAGGTTTGCCAAAGGTTTAAAAAGCCAAGAGTAAATATTATAGAGAAATTCCTTTGTAAAAGTTAAAAATTAATAATTAAGACTGACCTGATTCATTACCAAAAGTAGGAGATAAATACTGTGTTTCCCCGAAAATAAGACACGGTCTTATATTAATTTTTGCTTAAAAAATATACATTAGGGCTTATTTTGGGAGGATGTTTTATTTTTTTCAAGAACAACAATCTACATTTATTCAATTACCATCATTTATTTTGTTTAGTATTATTAATTTATTCCCGTTGGGGCTGGCAGGCGCTGGTTTTTCACTGGCAGCAGTGAAGGGGGGGGCGTTGGTGTGGAAGGGGGCAGAGTCCGAAGCCATATATCTATACATAAATTCAAGATGACATAACCTCCCTTTTTTAATGTTTCGCATCTATTTTCTTTCCTGCCAAAGCAAATTTTGCTACTTGATAGGTAGTATTTGCATCCCTACCCACAATCAGCGTGCAAGGTTAAGCCGGTGGTGGTGGTGTCTATAACATAGGGGCCTAAGAATGCCAGCAAGAAGTTGGCTTCTGGGGTGCTCATATAAAGGGCAATTTAATAAATAATGGAAAGCATCTTTGACCTCTCCTGATCTTCAGATACAGAGTCTTTGATGAAATGGGACATTATCATATCCTCTCCTCCAAAATGATGATTTGTACAGAGGGAACCAATGAAAATAAGACATTTGTAAGATGGCACACAAATCCAATAATAATCAAGACTGACCTGATACATTACCAAAAGTAGGAGATAAATAAGTAATGTACACTACAAACTAACATGGCCCTACTTCACAACCATACAATATTACTTTAGAAGTAACTGCAAAGACATGTAGCTTAAAGTGATAATAACTATTATCTGTTATTAGATTGGATACCCAGTGTGATGTAGTGGATAGAGTGATGGACTAGGATTCCAGAAACCTGGGTTTTAAATCCCCACTCAGCCATGGAAACTTTCTGGAGGAGTAGAACTGGTAAAACTATTCCTTAAATATCTCACCTTGAAAGCCCTGTTAGGGTCACTATAAGTTGGGTCTGACTTGACAGCATGAAACAACAATAATTGTTAGAGTTGTCTGTGTGGCATCTCAGGCAAGAAAAATAATTCTAAAGTGTCCCAAATCTCCCACTTCATGTGATGTAAGCATGTGCAAATGTTCATCTTTCCAAGCTTTATTTTTGCAACTTTCTTCATGTCACATTACTTTTTTAAAGAGAAGTAAGTTAAAGATCCTAATGAACAAAATTTTAAACAAATATTATTTTGCCACGTGTCAGGGATACTTAAGTTGTGATTTTCCTTTTTCGGCAGGGGGTTAGCCCCAGTCATCCTAGAGGTCCTTTCTAACTCTCCAGTTCCATGATTCTTTGGTTACATTTGTGAAAGCGTGGTAATAGGGAGGAAAAATGGAGGACTACCATTGTGTTGTCCTTATTTTTGGGAAAGCTATAAGATATTGGAGTGGTGGGGTGATTATTGTAATATAACTGGGGAAGAATTGTTGTTAGGTGGTATGTCAAATGCTTTTGATGCCAGAGATACTGGCATAGATTACCCAACAAAAAGGCTCAAGTTGCAGGTGATAGTGGCAACAATACTTCACATTTTGAAAATTACACATCTTGGATTGCTCTCTGGTACTTAAATATTTTCGTGTTTTTTTTAACACTTGGCATTATCTCAATTGTAATTCATTTAGTTCACTTCTATATTGCAAATAGGAAGGATGAACGAAGAGAGTGGCTTAACACTAGTGACCGAATTCAATCTTTTTAGTCAGTAATAATGGAAATTTCCTCTTGCCTGAAATTCTTCATTGTGTGATCAGTGAGAGCAGACAGCAGTAAGCTAGTAAAAGCTGGCAATCAGATGGTTTCTTATGGAAGTTTATCTCATTCTTTGGAAGGATGGGGTATCAAAACTGATGCATATAACTCCTGGACGGTTACTAGAAGTAATTACTAGAAGTAATAGAAATATTCTTGAAATAAGAGGGGAAATATAGAGCTGCAGATAATGCACTGCATCACCCATTAGCTACAAACACTTAGCTAGTGAAGATGGGATAGTGCAGTGGTAGTTATAATCCAACAGTATGGAGAGGAACACACATCCCTCCTACATTGTAAAGATGATGCTCCTTTCTCATATATGAAGGCTGCCAGAAGAAGAACATGGTAATGGTAGTATGTTATGGGGCTGTGGGTACCTGTGGCAACTAAGGTAATCATTGGGCAGCCTGGAGCAGAAAAGCTCTATGAATTGTGGCTGCAGCACAAAAGGACAGAAAGCCGTTTAAATAGGTAAAGAAGAACGGAGCAGGAGAAAGTAGTGAAGACAATTGACATTAAGTCTTACACTGTTGACTTAATTATGTTGAGATGTGGTATAAAAACAACTTACCCTCTTTTGCTTAAAGTCAGCTGTGCTTATTGGTGATTCTGTGCTCTCTTTTCTGATTCTTACATAGCTTCTTGAAAGTGCCACTGTGATATTTAATTTCTGTCCTGATAGGAAATCAAATATGACATTAGCCATAAAATTCCCTGCCCAGCATCTTGTAGATTAAGCAATGGATTTCTTACACAATTTATTTGATCAGTCAAGGCAAGTGACCATTATTCAGCTGAATGGCATAATAAATTCCAGCAAATTTGGATGATTAGGTTCCTACTCTACTTTACTAGCAATGCAGTAATTAATGACCTGTCAGCATTTCCATTATAGCATCAATTTTTCATGGGAGCTATAAATTAACAATTTGTTTTTTAATCTGGACTGTGCAGAAATGTTAAGATCAGGGTCTTGTCAGATTTTCTTCTGTACTATTTTTAAACAATTCCTGGTCCTTAACCACTGCGTTAGCTACTCGTACAAAATCGTGTAAGAAAATTGCAATTAATCTCATGCCTTTAGTGCAGCAGCAGGGAATCCTGCAGCCCTCCAGATTCTGTTGGATTTCAGCTGGCATCACCATAGCTGATATGACCAAAAAGTTGTATACAATGTGAACTTATACTTAATTACATCTGCAGAGCAACTATATTGCAGTGGTGAGTTAAAATCCGTGACCACAAAATACTCCTGCAATTAAAGGCAAGATGTGCACCTGCTGCTGTTGATGATTATCTTTTGTTGGTTTTAAAGTATATTATTAATGGATTGATTGATTTTAGAAATAGATTGGTTGGATTCGTTCGCCTTTCATTAACTGCTATTTTAACTACTATTTTCAGTTGGTTTGATAGCTCAGATATCTGGCTGTGAAGCCAGAGGCTGGAGATTGGATTTCCCACTGTGCCTCCAGCAATAGTTCCCAACCTTGGATCCCCAGATGTTCTTGGACTAACATTCCCAGAAGCCTTCCTCACTAGCTGTGCTGGCCAGGATTTCTGGGAGTTGTAGTCCAAGAACATCTGGGGACCCAGGATTAGGAAGCACTGTTGCAGAGAGAGAAAAACCATCTTACACAACCTTTGGCAAGTTGTACAGCTCCAGGATGGGACCAAAAGAAGGGAATAGTAAACTACTTTTGAGTTCTCTCTCCCTAGAAAATCGTGGAAAGAGTCACCATAAGCCAGAACTGTCTTCACGGAACACAATTATTTATTAGCTACTGTTTTAAATTACAGTACTGTATCTTCATGGGTTGGTGATTGTGTAGTATATGCTTTGTTTTTATATAAAGTGCCTTAAAGTAAGGTTCTTTGCCCTAAAGATAAGTCTAAACGTATTCAAATAAAAAGGTCATCCCAAATTTTATGTGATAGCCATGAAAAAAATGAAAGTAAGTTTAGATATATTTTTAGTTCTTTTCCCTAAGAACAGGGCATTTAACTCTTTCCAGTTCGTGCTTTCTTGCAGAATTCACATAGAGCTAGAACTAAAAAATAGAAACTATTTCGTGTTGCTCAGTGCTAACTAGGCTAGTCTGTTGCTTGTGAATTGGATTCTAGTCAGTGAACACTTGCATTGAAGTAAACATATTAGTTCATGAAGTCTGCAAGCACATTATTTTTATTTTATTATTGGTTTGAATTGATTGTGCATTCAATGACTTAGTCATCTGAAGTGCTCCGAACAACACTTGCCATTTCTGTTTGTTTGTGTTTTCTTAACAGACAGAAAGGCTAAAACACACAAAAATCCTAACAAAACTTTTACTTTTTATTAGGATACTTTTTTTGTCTAACCAATGTAAAATATTGAG